TATATGATTCTTATTAATTCATTTTAACAGTTAGTTTTGATTGACTTCATTTTTAGATATGATTTCATCTCAGAGATTTTTTTTTTTAATATTTGGCATATTGTTTTTTTAAGCATCACACTTTGGTTAACTTTCCAATGAATGTAAAATTAAATTGTGTGTTTTAAGAGAAATATTTGAAGGAAAATTAACTCTGCTGTTTTCAGTAAGATTTTGCTTATTTTTTACTTTCATAATTGCTGTTTTCTAATCCCCTCAGTTGTCAAAATTTTTCTTGATATTCTGTCTTAGTTTATTCAAAACTAAGTTTATTGTAAAATAGGCTTGAAAGCAAATTATGAAAATTATGAACTTTCTTATCTATCACATGTGGATTAATTCTTATTGGTACCACAAGTTTCCTAATTAGCTATAAATTACTACCTACTATGTTATATATCTCTTTCATATTGCCTGGTTTAAAGCCTCATCTTTCACTTAAATTGTCACTACTTTTATTCAGTTTCTAGAATCTTTTTCAACACAACCTCCACACATTGCCAAAGTGATCTTTAAAAACCACACATAGCCTGGTCAAATCCTTAAAATTCCCATTGGCTTTGGGATAAAATTGCAACCTCCAGGTATGACACGAGTCCCTTTATTATTTGCAGCACATGTACATCCCCAAGTTCGTTGTTAATAATATCTTTCATTCTCTTCATCCCTTCAGCCAAGAAGAACAGTAGTATTTGTGCTTCTTTAGTCATGATGTGCTCACTTGCACATGTGTGCCTTGCACATTATTCCCTCTTCCTTAAATACCCTTCTCTCTCCTTCTGCCCACTTTCCACTGGCTAACTTCTTCTTGTATTCAAATTAGGCATCAACTTCCTGAGAGGGCCCACATTAGAAATCGCCTCCTTTAGGAAACTTTCTCTAAGACTTCCCAAGATTGAGTTAGGTTCACTTGGCATCCCGGGAATAAGATTTATCCCACACAGTGTTTTCAGATTGAATGTTTTCTTTTTAGCCTCCCACACTATAATCTAAAGTCATCAAGGGACTCTGTCTTGTTCTCAGTTGAGCCCATGGCAATTGAGTACCAAAATAAATATGTATGGTATGAATGACCGAGTTTCCTTTTGAACCTTCACAGTATTCCTACTTCTTAACATTAGTGGGTTAAGCCTTAAAGTTCATTCAGTTTTGTTTTATACGCTTAAAGGAATACATTTCCAGTTTAGGGTTTTATCAGAAAGAAAAGTGCTACTATTTTAAGAATAATTACAAACAATAACTGACATTTAAAAAATGATTATAGGGCTTCCCTGGTGGCGCAGTGCTTGAGAGTCCGCCTGCCGATGCAGGAGACGCGGGTTCGTGCCCCGCTTCGGGAGGATCCCGCATGCCGCGGAGCGGCTGGGCCCGTGAGCCAAAAAAAAAAAAAAAAAAAAAAAAAAAAAAATGATTATAGACTGTAGGTATATATGTATATACCATCTGAAAAATATTCATGATCTTTTCTTATCGGAAATAGACCTAACTAGAAAAAAATTATGGTGGGTATTTTGCTCAGGAATTACTGATTTTTTTAATATGATTGATTTTTTTCTTCTTTAAGTCCATTTGCATAACTGTCAATCCTCTTCCTTTCTATAAATATGTGTTGACTGCTCACACTCTAAAGGCATATTGCAAGGCAGAGATTGCACAAGTCAGTAAAATGTAATTGGTAGCACTGACTGCTTTCTTGCAGTGAGCAAATCTACCTCAGAGTGAGGACAATGTTCAGGTATCTATGTCTATGGTGTCTGTGAGCTGAGGCTGCCCAGTGAATTGAAGAGCACCATATGCTCAATGCTGTCCTTTTGTTACATTCTTCATTGTCTGCCAAAAGTCAGGACCCCACAGAGTCCTCACCTCACCGAGGATGGAGAGATTGGAACCCGAGTCTCCGTAAACTCAGGCGAGGATTGTATAATTCTTCTTTTTACAGTTGTCAATCGAAACATGTTCTGGGAGCACAAATTAGAATCCTTATGAGAGCTATTACTGCAATCAAGTCCACTTTATACACCTTCCCTAATATTGCTTCACTGATAATATTTCTTAGGCAAGATTATACCTGGTGTTTTCATAAAACACATGCAAAGCACCCAAAAAGACAAAGGATTTGGATTTTATTTTTAATACACTAATACTACAAAATTGTTTTAAAAGAAGTGCTTCTTTTTCTTTTTTCTTTTAATTGCCATTGATAAAAGCATAACTGCCAAGAAAACTTTTTTTTTTTAATAGGGTCAGGGCCTCTAAAGAGTCAAGTAAGGTAAATTGTTTCCTCCCTTGTAGCTGAAATTGCTATGTTGTTTTATATTTCCAGCTCCAAATTAATGAACAGTTTTCTCTGTAGTGTAAGAATGGGTTTGGCAGTGTGAAGATCAGAGCAATCTCTTCTTCATTAAATTGGGCAAAGAGTACTCACTGGTTCTCAAACTGTTAAATGGATATTAGGGTTTTTAATGAATGGAACATTTATTTTTGTGCCAGCTCAACTAACAACGTTGACATGATTAGCATACATTTTGGCAACCGTTCTAGCGCAAGGTGTTAGAAAAAAGGGGCTTTTATCTTTGAGCTAAATTTACTTTAACTTTCCTGGTTATATATATTTTTAAAGTGAATGAGATGTTTTTGTAAAGGAAATCTTGGCACAAGAATTTATTCAGAAATATGTCCTTTTATTAATGTTGCAGGCATTTTTTTCATGCTAGAGATGAAATCCATACCCGAAACACATAAACCTTCTTCAAACTCATAAAAGAATAAAATGTTTTGTTATTTATACTGATAATTAAATCATTGCATTTGTAGAAGACCTTTTTTTTTAATGCTGCTACTTGTTTCACATGTATTTCTTTCCTGTAAAAGAGAGAAATCAGATATAAAAATGACTGGTGGAGGATGGTTTACTCCATTGCTCTATATCAATTATGAATGAAAAGTTTGGGGGGTTAAGTTATCTTACTTTCTTAGCTCAGTGGCCTCTCATAAAAAAGGAATTTCCAATAAAAATATATTTCCTTTTTGTAACAAACACTATTGCCTCATATACTTATTATTTTATTTATTAAAATTCTCAAATTGAAGAAAACAAGAAAATGAGTTAATACCTATTCAAAAGGTCTTGAGTTTTTGTATTCAATTCTTTTTTTGCAATGTGTTTTTATTTTAAAATTTATTGAAAGCACTTGTAACACAGCTAACAGAAGATTTGTTATAAGTATGTATTAAAATGAGTGTTTATAATTGATTCTAAGTCATAATAAATTAATATGCATGTACACATGCATGGGTGTAAATTTTCATGTGAACTTCTATCAAACACATAGGCATACTCTTTTTCTATTATATATATATACATATATATATGTGTGTGTGTGTGTCTATATATGTCTATAACTATACATGTATTTAATAATAATTTACCAAATGTTTAATTAAGTAATGAATTAGTTTAATATAAGTGTTAGCATAACAGAATATTTAGTTTACTCACATTTACCTCTAAAAGCAAATGAATGCCATTAACAGGAGCTTCAGTAAAAGAACAAGCCCATGTTCAAATATAAAACAGCAAAAATGAGAAAGAAATTATGAAAATATATACCTTTAATTTGCAGACATAGAAACACTTTTGGTACAGTACAGACACATGATGCCCAAAAGTAGAATGATCCAGTTTAAGCTAACACTTATTCTTTGTTTACAAAGATAATTTTGCTATAGCTCTCATATAAAATAAAATTTCCAGCTCACACATGGAAGTGAAGGTGATCAATCACTGATAAACCAGCTTGCTTCACTGCAAAGTGTTCAGTAAAAGCTAAATTATCAAAGAAATCTGCTGCTGGGCTTACAAATAAGCTCTTGGACCTAATCCAAAGCCAAAGAAAGGAAGTCAGAACCGGTAGCCAAAAAACCTAAACAACAACAAAAAGATAAGTATAACTTTCATAGAAAAGGTCCAGCTAAAACAACCAGTAGTGTCCACCAGCTTCTAGAATAATTTTGTTTTAATAAGATTTTTCTTTTTTTCTGTAACACATGAGTTTAAGTATATAAGAATCTAATACATAACCCAAGTATAAAACACTACTGACAAGTTGTGAAAGCATGAAAACGTCATGAACACCTATGAAGCAACTAAGATTGAAACATATCTTTGCTTCTGGCTGTTTCTCTTGGACATAATTTCTAGTTACATTTTCTTTAAGAAAGAATATATATATTTTCCCTTGTAATAATAACAAGTGCAGTGGTAAAGCAAACAGAAAGCAACCAGAGTACACAGAAGGCAAACTAATCTTTAGCACGTCAGATCTTGAACACATGGCAAAGTGTTTATCCTTGCTAAAAAAGAATTGCGCTTCCTTGTGAAGTCTTCTCTTTCAAATTATACATTATGCACTTGTGAGGTAATAAACATTCTGTTTACAAATGCTTTTCTTTTTTTATCATACATTTAAATGGGGGTGACATTCCATTTACTTTAATTTCATCTTTGTTTAATGTTAAAAACAATATATTTAAAATAGACTCTTTCAGTAATTTCATGTACAACTGTCATGTACAATACCTTAAAAGAGTTCCCTGCAAAGGAGCAGCTGATGCCCTCTTGTGGTTAAAGGACTTTTTTAGCCAAAAATGCAATGTACCATTTTCTTACCTTATTCCCGGGTTTTAACAATCATCTGCTTGGTGTATGAAAGCTGCAAATCATGTCCAAGCTTTTTTTATAACAGTTCCAAAGCTGTTAGTACCAATTTTCATTAAAAAAATGCTGTACACATTTTATAACCTCTGATTTTGAATTTAAAAACTTGTAAACAGCTATTTACAATACAGTACAAGTGATAAATTAGATGTCCAACACTCTTTGGGTGGTGAAGACTCTCCAAAGTCAGTTAAAACATCTCTGTTACTCCACAGCAAAAAAAAAACAACAAAAACAAACAAAAAAAAATCAAATATTAGAAATATCCATTGGTTTCCTCTCTCTCATATGCAAGTCAATTTTTCCTTTTAATGGAATTTGTACTTCCAAATTTTCATCCTCCCTGTGATGTCTTTTCCCTCTCAAACAGATGTATATGCCCATCCCTGTTACGAGAGTGATAGAACCCAAGCTTATTACAGACAGAGCTACTAAGGTGGGCATACAAGACACAGGCTCAACTTTCCTATGAGTTGGTTCTATTGAGATCTGTGGTTCTTTCTCCTCTATGTTAATATCTGGTTCCTTTCTTAAAAGACTCTCAATGTAGCTCTCATTACTGACAGTGTCATTGACAAATAGGTTCACCATGACCGTGGAATGGAGAGGTTCGGGATAACCATGATCACTCACTTTCACCAGTAAACGATGGAGCCCATAATCTGTCTGCAGCAATGCCTCTTCCAAAGTAATGTTGCCAGTTTTAGGGTCAATCCTAAATGACTCAGGCCTAGGACCTCTTCTCCCTATGATGCTGTAAGCTATGACAGCATTCATGCCTGTGTCTTTGTCAACTGCATAGACCTCTGTAACTGGGGAACCAGGGAGAGTAGAAGGTAAAACCAACAGGTAAGACATGTTAGATTGAGGAAATAAAACAAGAGGTGGGTTGTCGTTGATATCTAGAAGGAGAATTGTGATTTTTGTGGTAGAGGAGAGGGGAGGCTCACCTCCATCAACAGCTTCAACCCACAAAGTATAGGAGCTTTGCTGCTCTCTGTCCAAAGAGACTTTGGCTCTCAGCATGCCCTTTCCTGTGTCTATGACAAAAATATCACTCTGGTTCACCACGGAGAGGGCAACCCATCCATTTTGCCCAGCATCGGCATCTGTTACACTAATTATTCCAATTTCACCATATCCTGGAAAGTTTTCTGGCACAAAGAAGCTGAAGTCCTTGTTGATGAACCTAGGACTGTTGTCATTTTTATCCAACACTGTGATAGCCACGGTGGCTACTGATTCTTTGGGTGGCTTCCCAGAGTCAACAGCTCTGATTGTGTACTTGTACTTTTCTTTCTCTTCTCGATCCAGCTGAGTAGAAACTGTCAGAACTCCTGTGACACTGTCTAAGGAAAAGTATGATGGAGCATCAGGTCCCAGAAAATATGAAACTTGTCCCCTCTCTCCACTGTCAGCATCTGTAGCATCTAGCTTAGTCAAAAAGGCATTGGGTGAGTTGTTTTCTTCAATGGTTAGTTCCACCAAGGGTTGAAGAAAAATAGGAGCATTATCATTGTCATCTAAAAGTTGCACTTTAATCATTTTTTTGACATGAAATCCCTCAGAGTTCCAGGCTACCACAGCTATTTCATAGAACTGCTGTAGCTCATAATCCATAGGTTTTGTGGTTTCTAGCAGATATTCATTACTGTATGGTGGGTAGGGTGATAACCTAAATGGTCCTTCACCATCCAAGTAGCAGTTCACCTTGTATTTACCTTCTGGATCTCTTATGGTGAAAAATGCAATTGGAGTGTTAACAGGTTCCAGTTCTTTCAGGTAAACAATACCATCTACCTCATTCGCTATAAAACGAGGGACAATTTCAGGTGGTCTGAAAATGACTTTGATAATGGTCACCAGGGCAGTTATCACAGCAGGGATGCAGCCCGGCCCATTAGCAAGAATGGTGAGCTTGTGTGTTTGCAGAACACTTCCTCCAATCTTACTGAAAAGTTTAATGACTCCAGTGTTTTCATCCAGATGGAATAAATCCTTGGATGCTTGTGGAACCTTCTGGCTGTAAGAGTAGGTGACCTGAGCATTGTTTCCCAAGTCTCTGTCCACAGCCTGGACAGCTGCAATTGGTGTGCCCACTGTAGCATTCCCATACACAGTGACATTGATTTGTGAGTTTGTGAAGAAAGGGCAATTGTCATTAATGTCACTTATGCCAATGGTGAGGGTGGCACTGCCCAACAGTGGTGGAGACCCACCATCCTCAGCTATGATGATGCTCACATACTGGTCCTGGGTCTCCCTGTCCAACAGTCCCATGACAATTAGGTAGGGGGTTCGCTCCCCATTCTCATTCTCCTCCACGTCCAGGGTGAACATACGATGGTACTCCAGCAAGCGGTAGGTCTGAACTCCGTTAGTGCCTACATCTCGGTCCATGGCAGGATGCTCTATGGCCAGCCGGGTGTTTACAGGTGCATTTTCTGGGACCCAAACCGATATTTCGGAAACAGGGAACTGTGGGGCATTGTCATTGATGTCCCGGATAGCGATTTTCACCTTCACAAACCTGAAGTATTCCTGAGGCAGGACCAGTACATCCAGAAGCAAAAGACAAGAGTCAGCGGAAGGCGAAGAGGAGATGGAAATGCTGCCCCGCCAAGCAGCCCCTCCACCTCCTTCAAGACACAGGGCCTCCCTGTCGATCTCCTGGGCAGAAGTGTGCAGCTCCCCGGAGCGATTGTCTAGGGTCACGTACTGGCCACTCAGTCCCTGGGAGGCCAGGCTGAAGGAGAGAGGAGGGTTCCGCTCGGCGCCGCTGTGCTCCGGGGGCTGCGACTGCGGGTCCTGCCTCCCTGCTCCGTGCACCAGCCGCAGGTCCTCGGCCAGGCTGCCGATGAGCACCCCCGCGGGCAGTCCCTCGTTCAGGCTGTACAGAAGCTCCGTGGCCCGGCTGTAACTCGCCAGGCAGTTGAAGGGTCCCACGAAGAGGGAAAACAGAAGGAGATGCTGAACGTGGGGGGTGGAGAGAAGGCTTATTACACACACGCGGAAAGCACAGAGCTTGGAGTCAGAACCATTGCCCTGGGATCATTCTGGCTCCATCCCCATTCCCAAAGGCAAACGCTCCAGTCAGAACGGGGTGAAAAGGAAACTTGCTGTAAAAGAGAGATCTATGGGGCAACAGTGTCTCCAAAACTTAGGTTTTCTCTTTATTTTCTACATGTCCCTCCCACCCCCGCCCCTGCCCGGCTCCCCATCACCACCTCACTCAGTTAATATTCGGAATCCCAAACCATAAGTCATCCCTGGAAGTACATGTCGGAGTGGAGAGGACTGCGCAACGCGACAGAGAAACCACCAGGGTAGGTCATGGGGAGGGAGGGGGCTGGTAGTGGAGAGGACGGAGAGGTGGGCACTTTATTTTCCATTGAAATGTTTCTACCACTAAGATCCCTGAAATGCGAAATGTGCTGCATCCCTTGCTATGATACCGATAAAAACAATAATAATAATAATAATAATAATAATAATAATAATAAATAATAATAATAATAATAATATAGTAACTCTACCCCCTCGGACTCCCTACCCCACCAAATAAGCGCTTTAGGTCGGAAGAATTGATTTTCATTTTAGTACGTATCTAAAATCAAATCGAAAGGATCTGTATTTCCAACCCCTAACAAGCTCTCACTAATCCCCCCTCCCTTAGGGAAA